CCTGGGCGAGGCGTGGGGGGGCTCCACAGAAGGGGGGGGGGGGCGGTCTGGCTAGGGCGTCCTCGCGGCCGCGCCGCGGTTCGATCTGGCCTCTTGGTGGCGTTGCGTCCGAACCGCGGCCGAGGCCTGCCACCAATATGGGAGCCGCTGCGACACCCCTCGCATTCCCTTCTCGCGCCCCTCGCCTGCATCCTGCAGCATAACACCATTCCACATCATATCGTGTGGCAAACCCCAAAGTTGACACAGGTCGTGGCACTTTGACAAACGCCCCGGCCCGCCCGCCCCTCCGGCGTGCGCATCAGATCACACCCCCGGCCACTCAAACCCAGCCCCCGAGGCACCCACCAGGATGATGTCGTCGTTCTGCTTGATCTCGTCCATCAGCTTCTTGAGGCGCTCCTCAAACTCACCGCGGTACTTGGTGCCCGCCACCAGCAGGCCCATGTCCAGGGTCACCACCTGCGGGGGCGAAGCGGATGGGCGCAGGCGCGTTTTAATGCATGCGCCAGATGGGCAAGCCAAGAAGCCGCAGACACGGGCAGGCCACCGCCAACGCAGCCGTCTGCGCCCGCGCCGCCGCGTGCTGACGGCTCGCGCCACCTCGCGCCGCATGCTACCCCATGCAACAATTCCGGATTTTTCGCAGGCCTGCAGGCGGTCTCACGAACAGCTCCCGCCCCCGGTCCTCGCATGTACCACGGGTGCGGGCGCAGGCGCACGGCCGCCCACCTGCTTGCCCTCGATCGTCTCGGGCACGTCCCCGCTGGCGATGAGCTGCGCCAGGCCCTCAGCCACCGCGGTCTTGCCCACGCCGGGCTCGCCGATCAGGCAGGGGTTGTTCTTGGTGCGGCGGCCCAAGATCTGGATCACGCGCTGGATCTCCTTCTTGCGGCCCTGGGGTGCGGGGGAGTGATGATAATGCAATGGCCGTTGTGACAATCGGGATGGTGAAGTGGGGTGATGAGGTGGCCTCATAACTGAGACCAGCGTTTCAATAGCGACACCACTGTTCAAAGCTGGCACGCCCCCAGACGTCGCCCTCTTGGCTGCGCTCATGGCGCCGTCCTGCAAGACCGCTGCAGCGGCCGCAGCGATGATCAGGGCCGAAGCTTCACTACACGCGCAACCACGCCGTCCCTGCTGCAGGATTGCTGTCACCGCTGCTCATGCAGGCCGCTCCCACGTGAAAGCGCTGCCACCGCTGCGTTGCACGCAGCACACAAGAATGGAATATTACCTGCGTTCCGCCCCCATCACGACACCCCCAATCCCCACCCGCCCCGCCCCAAGCACCCAGGCAGGGCCACCCACCACGCAGGGGTCCAGCTTGCCCTCCTCCGCCTGGCGGGTGAGGTTTGTGCCATACTCCTCCAGGGTGGGCGTCTTGTTGGTGCCGCCGCTGGTCGTGCCCACGCCCGCGCCCACGGCCTCCTGGCTCTCGCCCACCATGCGGATGACCTGCGCGGGCGGGGGGTGCGGCAACACACGGTCTGCATCTGCCAGAGCTGGATGATAGACGGCCGGCACAAGGGGGGGGAGCTCACCAGCATGACGTGCGAGCTGCCGACCGCCCGTGCTGCTGCTAGCTAGGGTTTACAGAATGAACACTCTGTGCCGTCCGCGTCACTGCCGTGGCTCCCGCACCCAGACAGCGCGTTCCTTCTTGCTGTGTGCCCACGAGGACACAAGCCCTTGCGGCCCAACGCGCCTGAGTGCGGATCTTGGAGGGGTCCGCGCCCAGGGTCTCCAGCACGCGCGCCGCGACGCCCTCGCCCTCGCGCAGCAGGCCCAGCAGGATGTGCTCGGTGCCGATGTAGTTGTGGCCTGCGGCGGGAGCGGGGACCGGGGCGGGCGGCGGCGCGGCGGGCAAGGGGGTGGGCGGCGCGTCGGCGGGGCATTCCATGCGGCGGGCCCCGTCGTGTGGCAGCGACGCGCCGGCTGGATTGAGGTGTTGAGCATGGCGCCTGGCCCAGCTGCGGCGGGCTCCACACCGGCCATGCGCGAAGGCAGTGACTGGTGTAACATGCTTGCAGGAGGCCGATATGCAACGTTGCCTTTCGGAGGCCAGAGGCTGCCATGACTTGACCAAGTGGTCTGCACACGCAGCAGGCGCAGCGCGCGCGGCACACTCACCCAGCTGCCTCGCCTCCTCCAAGGAGAGCTCCAGGACGCGCTTGGCACGCGGAGTAAAGGGAATCTCGACGGCAACGAAGCCGGAGCCCCTCCCGATAATCTTCTCGACCTCCACGCGCGCGTCCTTCAGATTGACGCCCATGCTCTTCAGCACCTTGGCCGCGATACCCGTCGACTCGCCGATCAGGCCCAGCAGGATCTGTTCAGTGCCCACAAAGTTGTGGCCGAGCCTGCGGGCCTCCTCCTGGGCAAGCATCACCACCTTGATCGCCTTCTCCGTGAAGCGCTCAAACATGGCGTTCACTTGCAGCCTCCCCTTGGCGCTCCTGCGCTGTCGAGACACCCTAGAAGCTACGGAAGGCGCTGCCAGACGAGAGCCCATATAGCTGGAGGTGCCCTGGGTGGCGCCCATCCTGGCCTCGACCTTTACGGCGCGCCTGGTGCCTGCATGGCGCGGCGCGGCTGCTCTCTTGGTGCTGGGGCTCGCTCCAGCCAACTGGCCGGAGCTCATCTTGAGAGAGCGCTGCATCGTGCTGGTATGTGGTGCCGCCCCAGTGCTGCACGAGGCGGGCTGGCGCAGGAGAGCGAATTAATTCTGCACCGTAAGTCACGAACGTAAAGCTCAAGCCCGTGTCCGTTTCAAAAGTGCCAGCGAAGGCTAGGGGCGCACAATACGAAAGACATTGGGTAGTGTGTAATCAGGGCGGGCGACTGTCCACCGGCCTGCACAGAGTGCCGCTCAATTGCAATTTAGACGACATAAGACAAAGTTCCTGCAGCGGCGTGAGCTGCAGCGCCAGATCACCAGGTGATCACGGGCTGCACAAAAATCCACCGCGTTCCATGCAGCCGGGCCTTCAGCCGTGCAGCGCAAGCAGATGTGCGGAGCTCATATTCTTGTCGTTTTTCATATATTTGTGAAACAGTTACCGGCAGGAGCTGTGCTGCTTCATCCCGACATCGCGCACGAAACCAGCATCCCCTTTTCCATCACCAGTGGCGTTGAATTCACTCCACTTACAGCTAGCTGCCAGCATCAGGGCAACATACAGCATGGGGCCCCTCGCCTTCACTGCACCATCTCCTCAAATGCACCCAAGTGCGGGTCAACCATGGCCGAAAAGGCAATGTAGTTGACCAGCTGGGTGCAGGGCGGGTGGGGGGGGGGGAAAGGGCCACAGTGAAGAGTAAGAGTGGTTGGGGATTGGCAAGTTGTATGCATGAGTCACAAGCACACTTATACAACATGCATGCGTACGCATGCACGCTCGGGCACAGCACAAACGCGCTCATACTTGCACCCTAGTATGCCGCGCACGCGCACGCGTCGGCCCCAACAAGCATGCGCGCACGCGCACACACGCACGCACGCACGCACGCGCACGCACACACCTCTGTGAGATCCTCGTGATGGAACTTCTCCGCGAGCAGCTGCGCCTCGCTGTCGCTAACGCGGATCCCCACCTGGCGCAGCGCGCACACACACACATCGGTGGCAGCACCGCAATAGCGCGCGCGGACGCTGTTGCCCGGATGAGCCCACACGCATGCGCAACTTGCTCACAAAGCATGGGCAAAGCTGCCGCAATAATAGCACCTCTGTGTGGCTGGCGTGATTTGCCCCACTTCTCTCTCATTCAGAACGCAAGGTCTCACGCAAGCACGCACTCCTGAACCCCTGCCGCACAAAGAGCATGCTAAGCCCCAACGCCAGTTTGTGGTGCCGGCCAACTCCAAACAGCCTGATAGCATGTGTGTTTTGATCAGGGCCCACCTTGACGTTGAGGACCTGCTTGAACTGGGGGGCCGTCACGTGGCCGTACAGCTTGGCGCTGTGGTCGTCCTGCGCATGCGCGAACGGACGGGCGGAACAAAGCGCACTGTCAAGGCGGCAAGCAGGGCCCGCAGTCCGTCAGGGGAACCGGCTTGCGAGCAGCGACTGCGGCATTGCAGGAGGACGGCCCCTCAGCCGGCGGCGGCTGTCCCCTTGGGAACCAGCGAGCGGCGGCCAGAGACCCTGCCCTGGGCCGCGCCACCACGTGCTGTACTTCAAAGCGTGCGCGCGGGCGCGCGCGCGCGCGCAGGCCCTCAAGCAGCGTCTTGCGCGCGCACCGCCGCGGCGTCGTCGAAGAAGGGCTTCAGCAGGATGCCCCTCTTGTCGCAGGTGTTGCTGATGCGCGCCATCACCTCCCCCAGCCGCGCCTCCTTGGCCTCGCCGATGTCCCTGAACACGCGGACGGGCGCACGCAGGGGGCGGCCGCTGATGTCCCCCAAGCGGCGTCGAGCAGCCGTTGGGCGGACAATGGTGCGCGCCTGCAGCAAGCAGCAGCGCTCCCTCGCAAACATGACAGAGGTATTGACGCTTTTACCACCCTGAATCAATATAATGGCGGATAGCACGCGCGCGTCTGCACACTAAGCAAGCGGCGAGTGCGCGCCTGCTGCTGCGCTGGTAGCGGTTCCTGTCCAGCAGCTCGCTGGGCTCTGCTGGCACGTCCTCCAGCGGAGTCTTCTCCAGGTGCTGCGGGGCACCACCACATACACCACGCGGCAAGCTCTCCCTTTCAACTTCTCTTCGACGCAGGGCGCCTTCAGGACCGACCTCACCCAGCGGCAGTCTGAGTCCAGCACATACCGACTGCACGCTGTGTGGCGCGAAACCACACCCTGCAATTCCCCGACCGCACGCCGCACGCCGCACGCCGCACGCCGCACACTGCTCACCGCTTGCCGCACGCCACACACGCCAGACCCGGCACACCAGGCCCTGCAGCCACAGGCGACCCGTCGCCGCACCCCGAAACCCCGCACCTTTTTGGTGAACACCACGTCCACGTCGTCCAGGAAGCGGCTGTACTCCATCACCTCGCTGCTTGCCGTCTTGGGCACCGTGTAGTGGTCGCAGATCACCTGGGTGGGGGAGGGGGGGCCAAGCGCAGCAGCAGCGCAAGGAGGGCGTTTGCAGGGATTGCACGCACGGACGTGCGTGTGGAGCGGCACTGGGCCATGCAGCGCGTGCACGCGGTCCGCAAAAGCAACCATGCACGACGCGCGTGAAGCGTTCGCAGGCCGGAATGTCACTCGACAGCCGCGCGTGCGCGTCAAGGTGTCCTGCCTGGGCGCCCAGCCACAGAGCGCCACTGGGC